GTGTCTGAGAGTTAATTTACTCGTCGAGCCCTTNATCCGGCGAGAAACTCAGTGGGCTGTGTCTGAGAGTTAATTTACTCGTCGAGCCCTTCGTCGCAAGCGACGGGTTCGACGAGAACGGTGACCGGTGCTTGAAGTACCTAAAAGCACCGTTAGTGGATCAGGAGGATCCGAGATGACGTGTTTAGGGCGACGTCGACTGCTTTCCATTCTGTCCGCAGGATCGGGAATGGAAAACTACCATAAAATGCTTTATTTGTACGGCCATTTGAAAGCGTTTCAGATCAAACTGCGCTTGTGAGAGTCATAGATGCTGTCTGGTAACAGTTACTATTTCAACACGCTCTCTGCGTATGAAAATATTGCTTATGCTCAATTTTTTATATATATTTTTATATTGCTTAGATGGATGGACGAGCTCACAGCCCACCTGGTGTTAAGTGGTTACTGGAGACACCTTGAGATATAAGTTCTAAGGTCTCAGTATAGTTACAACGGCTGCCCCACCCTTCAAACCGAAACGCATTACTGCTTCACGGCGGAAATAGGCAGGGCGGTGGTACCCACCCGCGCGGACTCACAAGAGGTCCTGCCACCAGTAATTACGCAAATTATAATTTTGCGGGTTTCATTTTTATTACACGATGTTATTCCTTCACCGTGGAAGTCAATCGTGAACATCTGTTGAGTACGTATTTCATTAGAAAAATTGGTACCCGCCTGAAATTCGAACACCGGTGCATCGCTCAACACGAATGCACCGGACGTCTTATCCGTTAGGCCACGACGACTTCAAAATGCTCAATATGCTGAAGAGCTCAAGTTACTGACGGAACAATTTTCGAATAGATTTAGCGACTTCAAAAACACGAAAGACTGTTTCAGTGTATTTGCTACTCCTACAAGCGCATCGCGTTCAAGCATTCCTAATGACCAAAAAAGTGCGCATACAAAAATAAACTTTACTACCAAGGGCGGATCCAGGGGGGGGGTCATGGGGTCATGACCCCCCCCCTGAGCTGGTTCCAGGACCTAGATGGACCACATATTGAACATAATGATTTTAGGACACAATATATTGTTGCTCCTTAATTAATTTAATATATTAAAATAACTGTATGATAGCAAATGTTTGGGAACGAACGCATCGAAAATTTGAATTTTACCGCGCCACACTTGCGCGCGCTTGTCAACTACAATACGACCGATGTACAAAAAAACGTAACGTCTAGCTAGGCCTAACCTCAAATTGAATCCTAACCTCAATCGGAATCGGAACGACTAAACTTCAACATATCATAACATAGTTCTAAGTTAAAAAACTAAAATTTCTTTCTAGCTTTAATGTGCCTATAAGTGTACCTTTATAAGTATTCTTAAAAATTGTTACTGTAAATTCATTAATTACAAGAAATGGTAAGTAATCAGTTTGTCATTATCCCAGTGTGTGTGTTTTAAGTTAAATGTTATTGTTGTTAATGCCCATAAAGTACCTCATAGGTAGATATGTAGGTACCTACTAACTGAAAGAGTCCTGCGTGACTTATGTACCTACTTATATATATTTTTTGGACGAGAGAGATTGAAGAGCATAAGGTTACTGACCCAACCTAATAAAATCTTAGATAAATTCACACAATGAAATCAAGTGTATCGTCGTGACCACATTGATTTTAATGCTTTTAAAAATAAAAGCTTTTAAATGTGTACAAGTTATTATCTGTTAAGTTTTTCAAGTGTACAATAAAGAATAAATATTTTTAAGTACAGTACTTACGTACATTAATAAGCCCCGGGAAGCTGTCCCGCCAACCGGTGTAAAATCCTGTCGTGCGGTCGTCGTGCCGGAGTCGGAGACCGGAGTGGATCCCGGCGATCGCACGCAGGGTGGACTGGGGGCCCTTCCATGCCCTGCGTCGGTCTCTCACGCAACCCGTGATCGACCACACGCTATGTTCCGCGCTTTATTCAGGTGTTGTCATGATTTCACTTCGAACANTCGTTTTTACCATCGCACCGCCCGCCACCGGAGTAGAGTTCATCCATACTACCTGGAGCCACTGCGGTCATCCACAGTGCGTTTCCAGAGGTCTTTTTTGCCACGTACCATCCGGCTATGGAATGAGCTCCCCTCCACGGTGTTTCCCGAACGCTATGACATGTCCTTCTTCAAACGAGGCTTGTGGAGAGTATTAAGCCGTAGGCAGCGGCTTGGCTCTGCTCTTGGCATTGCTGAAGTCCATGGGCGACGGTAACCACTTACCATCAGGTGGGCCGTACGCTCGTCTGCCTACAAAGGCAATAAAAAAAAAAAAAACCTACTTTTTACTTGTATCTATGATCTATCTTGACTTGACTATAACTATGTGACCCCCTCCTGGCACCAAAGCTGGATCCGCCCTTGTTTACTACAATTACTCAAAACTCTGTTTGCAACGTGATAAAAATCTGCTCTACTCTCCGAGCTGTTCCAGGAGTAGACCATCGGCCATCACATGTTTAAGGCCGCGGCGAGTTCAAGTTAGTATTATTTATTATAACATCAAAAAAATTAACAACGCGAAACATCACTACATAGACCGTTCACCGTCCTCGTCGAACCCGTCGCGTGCGACGAAGGGCTCGACGAGCGAATTAACCCACAGACACAGCCCACTGAGTTTCTCGCCGGATCTTCTCAGTGGGTCGCGTTTCCGATCCGGTGGTAGATTCTGCGAAGCACTGCTCTTGCTAGGGTCAGTGTTAGCAACTCTCCGGTTTGAGCCCCGTGAGCTCACCTACACACGCTAGGGCGAAGCTGAAATAGCCTCTCACGGCTATCAGCATAGGTAGGAAAAAAAAAGAACCGTTCGAAATGCTACCTCTGACGTCACGCGAGAACAGAGATAAATGTGTCACCGGCTAAAGAACGCTTGGGCGGATCGTGCCTCTCTATCACTCGTTCCACTCTCTCGCTTGCACGCTCAGGCTCAGGCGGAACGTGACACTTTTCCGTGCGTAGAGCCGGTGTAATTATCACGTCAAAATGTTGTTTTTGATTTGGTTATATTGGTTTAGTTGTATTTTCTTTTACTTAAATAAGTACCTACGATTACTTGTTAGTAAAATAAAATATTGTTTTTCAAACGATTTAATATATAATCACTTTAAAACAAAGTCGCTATGAAACAAAGTCGCTTTCTCTGTCCCTATATCCCTATGTATGCTTAAATCTTTAAAACTACGCAACTAAATTTTATACGGTTTTTTTTTAATAGTTAGAGTGATTAAAGAGGAAGGTTTATATGTGTGGCGTTTATATGCGTAAGCCGGAACGCACGAGAGGTGGGAAAAAGAATATAGTCTGTGCTACGGGACCTTTTTACCGCCCAAAATTTAAAACGTAAAAATAATTTATAATGTGTTTAATAACTAATATAATATAACTAGCTGACCCGGCAAACATTGTTTTGCCATATATAAGATTTCTAGGGAATTTCTAGTGTAGAAAAAAAAACTAACTTATTGTAAGTGTGTAAGGATGTGGTAAATGAGTGAAAGAGGTATGTAGTGCTGTGAACGATGAGGGAATATATAATAAAAATAACAAAACCTCATTCAACCACATAATACCTCAGCATAACAAAAAAAAAAAGTCCAAATAAAAAAAATATGTTAGGGGTGGACAACCCTAATCACTTAGGGGTATGAAAAATAGATAGTAGCCGATTCTCAGGCTTACTGAATATGCATAAAAAATTTCATGAGAATCGGTCAAGCGGTTTCGGAGGAGTATGGGAACGAACATTGTGACACGAGAATTTTATATATTAGATAACCTAGAATTGTTTATGCCGCTACATCAATAAAATTTATATTGTTCCAACTGTGGTGTTAATTACATAAAACACGACTTTACGGCGAAATAAAGAAGGGACTCTATATGAGATCCCTCATATGCATAATAACATCCATTAAATAGTGGAGAAATCAATAATAAATTACAGTTTCCGAAGCGAAGCTAGGGCGGGTTGCTAGTGACTTAATAATCGAATTATTGAAATGAGGTTATGCACCATTTATGCACGGTAATAGTGATCACGGGTTCAAAGCACTGACAACAAACACCTTAGCTCGAAAACACCAGAGCTCACAGAAAAATTGCAACACAAATTAATTATTATCGATCATATATTTCTAAGGTTGCGTACACACGGCATTACCCTGCACGTTTTCCTTGTATTCGTTATTTTAACGTACAATCAGCCGGGTGTGCGTACGATAGATGTTCATTCGTGTAAAAACGAACGTCTGAGCGAGACAGAGCTATACCATGCGCCACTCCAACGTTAAAGTTCATTCGATTTGCTTGACAAGTCCGTTGAGTATTCGTTTAAACACATAAGCGGTTTTTTGCAGTACAAACTACATGTCAATGGTTTTATGTACAATGTATATGTGCCACTATTCATTCGTTAAGACGTGTAAGTACTGCAAATAACTTTTTACTGGTGGTAGGACCTCTTGTGAGTCCACCACTTCGCCTATTTCTGCCGCGAAGCAGTAATGCGTTTCGGTTTGAAGGGTGGGGCAGCCGTTGTAACTATACTGAGACCTTAGAACTGATATCTCAAGGTGGGTGGCGCATTTACGTTGTAAATGTCTATGGGCTCCAGTAACCACTTAACACAAGGTAGGCTGTGAGCTCGTCCACCCATCTAAGCAATAAAAAAATAAAAAACCTGCAGCCAATGCCGTGTGAACCGAGCCTAAGATACTACAAATATCAGTTCACAACGGAACAAATTATTCCCCATACGTTGAAAAGTAGTCGCAGTGCATATCGGAACACAGCTTAAATCGAGTTTAATAAATATCTCGTTCACGCCGTCGAATTATAATAATAATAATACGTAATATCGGGATTCGCGGTCATTCATTCGTTCTTAGTTTTATTAAATGTTCTATCCGACTCGCCGCGGCGCCGCCTCAGACCAAGTTAGTTAGTGTTTAACCACAGAGCGTGTTCGTTGCGCGTAGCAACGCTCTAGTAATTTTTAAACACAAATCTGTAAACTAAAATAATAATAACATTGATTTAGTTCAATTTGTGAAATAATTAGTTACATGTAAACTTGTTATATTTCGATAGTGCACTGAAATTGTTCAGGTAAGCTTAATAAAACACAGTTTAAACAAATTGATATTTTAAACGTGTTTTTGATGAAAAAACGCTAGTCTCGCATTCCCGATCCTGCGGACAGAATGGAAAGCAGTCGACGTCGCCCAAAACACGTCATCTCGGATCCTCCCGATCCACTAACGGTGCTTTTAGGTACTTCAAGCACCGGTCACCGTTCTCGGGGCTCGACGAGTAAATTAACTCTCAGACACAGCCCACTGAGTTTCTCGCCGGAACTTCTCAGTGGGTCGCGTTTCCGATCCGGTGGTAGATTCTGCGAAGCACGGCTCTTGCTAGGGTTCGTGTTAGCAACGTCATCAGGTTTGAGCGCCGTGAGCTCACCTACAAACGTTAGGGTTACGCTGAAATAGCCCCTAAGGCTATCAGCTTAGGTAGGAAAAAAAAAAAGAAGCTAGTCTCGTATGAGACTATGAGATGTTTTAAGCCATAGAGCTATGTTTAACCACAATTTATGCATGTATTATTTATATTATTTTTATTCTTAACTAGTGGCCCGCTCCGGCTCCGCTCGGGTCTTTAACAAAAATTACAACAATATATGAGGTTTTTTTTTGAATAACACTTATTGCAGCATAACTATAATAGTAAGACATACACTGTCGCGACACTTTTTGTAAATAATAATTCTATCAATCAATAGTTTTCGCAAGGCACGCGATGTAAAGAATATATTTTTAGGTAATTTTTTTCACCTTGGGTTACATTATTTGAGTTTTAGTTAGGATCTCTAATATTTTTCAAAAAATATTATAGCCTATGTCACTCGGGAATAGTGCAAGCTTCCAAACAGTGCAAGAATTTTTCAAATCGGTTCAGTAGCTTCGGAGCCAATTCAATACAAACAAACAAACAAATCTTTCCTCTTTTAAATTTATTAGTATAGATACCTACCTATGTCAATTGTTTTAAAACTAGATAGATATGTGTCGTACATCAGTCGTCGTGGCCTAAAATATAAGACGTCACAAAAAAAAATCGGAAAGAATATCATAACAAAAAAACTTCTCTAGTTATATGAATGGAGTAACTGAAGTTCAATTAAAGAAGTCCAACTTTCGATGCTAATCTATATATATATATATATATTTTATGATTGAAAGATTACTGGTGGCCCGGAGGCCTTTCCAGCTTCACCAGGACAGGTAGGCGAGCAAAGGCTCAGCCAGGAGGGTGGGATTTGCTAACAACTGCCCGAGCGCCTCCGAAGGAGACCTAACAACTTAAGAGCAATTGCTTCGCGAATGAATCTATCTGAATCTATCTACCGGATCGGAATCGCGACCCACTGAGAAGATCCGGCGAGAAACTCAGCGGGCTGATGTATGGGTTAGGTTGCACGTCGACCTCTTTGTCGAGTTCGACGAGTACGGTTGCCGGGGTTCCTCAGCCTGCTCCTAGTGTTAGAGCTGAAGGTATCTAATGCAAGAGTTATTGGATCTGATGAATCCGTAAGGACGTGTCTAGGGCGACGACGGTGACTTGCTCCTGCGTGATCAGGATTCGGGGAGTAATCAGCGGCAGCAACGATAAGGCGATTATCATGACGCCTAGCCTTATCGAAGTAACGTTCCGACACTGACTTCATGTGTTTGCGGATCGATTCCAGGCCCAGGTCGTCGTGTAAGTCGACGTTCTACACGAACCACGGAGCCCCGACGGTTAACTTGCAAAAGCGGGATTGTAGGGATTGGAGGGTGTCTATGTGTGTGCGGGCCGCGTGAGCGAACACCACACTCGCGTAAGTCATGACGGGCCTTATGCAAGTTTTGTAAATAACCCTAAAGAAACCTTGTTCCGAAGGGACATTTTACTCCGCTTACAGATCATGGGGTAGAGTCTGCCGAGAATAAATGCACCGTGCCGCACGGACTGTTTTTATATGCGGGCGGAATGTCATGGATGCATCCAGGGTGACTCCTAGGTACTTGACCTTCCTGGCCCAAGGTATAGGTTGGCCGAAAAGGGTGATCGGAGGTGTGATATTTCTCCTCCTAATGCGAGAGGAAATAAGCGGTGAGTTTCCCCTTTGAAATAACACTGTTGTGCTTTTCGCTGGGTTGATGTCTATGCGCCATTTTCGGAACCACTGTCCGAGGGTTAACGCTGCACTCTGGAGCTTACTCGCGATTAGGGACTTGTTTCTACTTGAGTAGTAACTTGTGTCGTCAGCGAATAAGGCTAGCTGGGTCGGCGGCGACCGAGGAATATCATTGACAAATAAACTAAAGAGGAGTGGAGAAAGAACGGAGCCTTGTGGGACTCCAGCCGTGAGTGGTCGCGGGGAGGAGCGGGTTCCCTCTACTCGATATCGAAAAGAGCGGTTAGACAAGAAGTCCCGTATGATGAGCACGAGACTGTCCGATACGCCCATGTTGAAAAGTTTGAAAATCAAACCGTTGTGCCAGACTTTGTCGAACGCTTTTGCGACGTCGAAGAAGAGGGCTCCCGTGTAGATCGGTTTTGGTCGGTTAAGTCCTACGAGAATGTGCTCCGTGAGGCGGTGCATCTGTTGTACGCATGAGCGATTTGCACGGAATCCGAATTGTTCATCGATGAGAATGCCCTTGGATGAGACGAAGTCTCTGAGGCGTTTGTAGAGCAGACGCTCGTACAGTTTGCCCAGAGACATGAGGAGGCTAATCGGGCGGTAGCTCGTCGGATTATTTTTTGGTTTACCGGGTTTTTGTATGCCGATAACGTCCGCTTCTTTCCACACCGCGGGAAAGATACAGTTAGCTATAGCAGCATTGAAAATAGATGCCAACATCACGATGAGTTGGATGGGTAGAAGTTTAATAACGCGGTTGGATATACCGTCGGAACCGGGAGCTTTGCGAGGACGTAGGTCTTTGATCAAGTCTTTAACTTCCATTGGGGTGACGGGTGGTGACGCATCCAAGGGTGGCAAGGAGGCTCTGCGTTCTACCTCACTGTCTACTAATTCTAAAATTCTAATTCTACATGCGTGAACTTTACAGTAGAGTAATTTAAAGTTGAAATTAATTTAAAATATAACTGAGAAATACCTGAAAAAAAACCTATTTTAATGAATCTAGCTGTAGGATTGAAATAGACTATACTTTAATAGACTTAGAAATATATATTTTTTTTTCGCATCGAATATGGTTATTGCCTATCATTTATGTACAAAGCAGTTATTGTCGCTTAGTCACGTTTGCGTTTCAAGCGTCGATATGTATATAGATATATCCATAATAATCCTTTTTGAAGTATATCTACTATAATCTATATACTTATATATTAAAATGAATTGCTGTTCGTTAGTCTCGCTAAAACTCTAGAACGGCTGGACCGATTTGGCTAATTTTGGTCTTGAATTATTTGTGGAAGCCCAGAGAAGGTTTAAAAGGTAGATAAATATGAAAGTGCCCGGAATTAAATAAAAATAACAATTTTGTTTTTCCTTTGATGTGTCCCCCGTCGGACGGATTCCTTTTGTTTGTTTTAAGTTTATTTTATACAAAAGCTTAGGTCTTTTGTTTATCGATTGAGGCACTACGAAGACTGCCGGGTTTTTTTTTGTTGCTTTGATGGGTGGACGAGCTCACAGCCCACCTGGTGTTAAGTGCTTACTGGAGCTCATAGACATCCACAACGTAAATGCGCCACCCACCCACCTTGAGATACAAGTTCTAAGGTCTCAAGTATAGTAACGACGGCTGCCCCCCCCCTTCAAACCGAAACGCATTACTGCTTCACGGCAGAAATAGGCAGGGTGGTGGTACCCACCCGCGCGGACTCACAAGAGGTCCTACCACCAGTATACCGGGTCAGCTAGTGCTTAATAAAAATTCATAAATTTAGTAACGTAAATTCTAGAATACATACAGAGGTGCACATCTCATCTGTCCTGAGATAAGACGATTTTTTTTTATCGAAAACTTCGCGTGAATTTACAAAATTCCTTATCAATCCTAATAATTTGAGTCCGGACGACCGTGCATGATTTGTTTCTATTGTCTACTAAGCTACCCATAGATAACACAACGCATTAATCACAGATAGATAATATATGATTGGTATTAATACCTTCGTGAAATTTTTTCATAATCTACAATCTAGTACCTATCTAATATTACACAAACCTCACTTTAATCTCTAAACAGGCAAAAACACAAAATTTTCCTTCGCATTCTGTAATTTATTTGTTGAACGATTTCTTTGTTATTCTTAAGATGCTATTCGATTAGCTTTAGTTTTATCAATAGAACGTTCTGGAAATATGAATGAACATTAATATACAACGGAGTTCTTACCACGTTTTTTTTTTTCATTTTACTTAATGACTTCACGATCTAAATCGTGAAATAATTGTGTTCATAATGTTTTTCTAAGGGATTTTAATTATGCAAAATTATTATTAGCGTAATTACTGGTGGTAGGACGTCTTGTGAGTCCGCGCGGGTAGGTACCACCACCCCACTTATTTCTACCGTGAAGCAGTAATGCGTTTCGGTTTGAAGGATAGGGCAGCCGTTGTCACTATACTGAGACCTTAGAACTTATATCTCAAGGTGGGTGGCGCATTTACGTTGTAGATGTCTATGGGCTCCAGCTCCATTAACCACTTAACACCGGGTGGGCTGTGAGATTGTCCACACATCTAAGCAATAAAAAAAACTGGGATGAAATTAAAAGAAAACAGATGAGATGATATGGGATGAAATATAATCGCAGTAAAATGGTGGTCACCCCGAGAAGTAACGTCCAGCGTGCTTTGTTTCATTTTCCCACATTTGTGCACTTTCACAGATAATAAACAGTTAATAGAACACCGTTATTACACATTGGAACCTAAAGAAACACTAAATAGACAAAGTAAAACAAATCACACAACTTCACTCCTCGCGTTCCCGCCAAAAGTCCTGTTCATAATGATGTAGGCGCGAAAGCTTAAAAACAATTCTGGAAATAATATTTTAAACTAATTTCAAAATAGTAGGTTCTCAAATTGAATATATTTTTGTTTTTTTACCTCAGAACGCTTTTGTTTAAGAGTTGTTGCTTCTCGTTAGATCCCCGCTGTAGTCGGAATTCGACTATAATATAATTGAAATTATAAGTTTAAAAATTAATATGGTTCTATTGTCAAACACTATGTATTATAATTCGATAATATAATCACAGTATTCGCCAAAACTGCACTATAGATCAATAATATTAAAGACAAACAATATTAATCTATTTTCAATTCGACCACAGACTTTAAACAATAACAAAAGTTTCCCAATTGACAGTAAACAAAGAGTATATTAATATGTATGTGTTGTGTCACATACATGGTAGTGTGTGTAATGTTTGCTTTATTGATTTAAAGTACCTTTTATGCAATTAAAAAAAAAAACTTTAGCATTGTGCACTCCTTCTCTATATTCTCTATGAGTGTGAGAAATTTCATACTCCTCCGTCCGCGCAATTTTCGTAAAAAAGGGGTACAAAGTTTTTGCTTCACGTATTAATTTAAAGATATAAATTTGTTCGACTCTATTTATGATAATCTGATTTTGTTTCGATGAAGTTTATTTTCTTTTATGTGAAGTGTCAATAACGTAACAAAATTAAATAATGTTTAACAGAAAATGAATCTTAAATGTAATAGTTAAGATCAAATTTCGCTTGTACGAAAACCAGTGTCGCTAAAAACCCGTGTGACATTCAAATTTATTTTGTCGTTTTTTGGCGGGAACGCAAAGAGCATAGTTGTATGAAATGTTTCTTTTCTGAATTGAATATTTCTTAGGTTTTAAACATGTAACAATGATGATTTATTTAACATATTTAGTATCTGTAGAATTGCCAAAGTGCTGTAAGGTTAAAATCGCTAGACGTCGCGTCGATCCAACAAGTTCATTGAACTCTCAGTAAATTCCGACCATTTTATTGAGAGAGGTAGGTAAGCCCTTGTTTATATAAAACCGAGACTTTGACCGAAGTTTCAAAGTCACCGAGGGCAGTCACACTTCGATGTCAGCTTTTAAACAATTGAAAAATCGCGTATTAATTATCTAAGAATCTTCATTTAGAACGAAAAACATGTTTTTGTTTATCATTCACGCTGTTAAACGCACAAGGTCGTATGTAACAAAATGACGATTAAAAAAATGGTCTTTCTATGCTAGAAGCTAAAGACTAGTTTTGTTGTTTATGTAAAAGCAAATAATGTCTGATAAAAATGACCCTCAAATTGTTTAGCATTTAGTAACTAGAGTGCTAGTGTTTTGGGTGATATTCAAATGTATATGCAACATTTTATTTTTAAATTCAGCGCCATCTGTTGTATGATAGCGTATTTTTAATACGCTTTTATTAGCTTCATACGTATGTTATCATTCATGTTATTGTAACGAAATCTTTGACCGTGATTTTGACGGATTTTTAAAACGTCAGATTAACTCGAAATTTGACGTAGTTACTTATCAAAGACCGATGAAAATTCAATATTTTATGCTATCGGCACGCTGTGATAGCCTTTTTGACATATTACAATATGTGTAATGCATAAAATGCATCACGAAGGACCTAAGCGACCCTGCGACGTTGCTGGGTACACCACAAGCACCGGTCACCGTCCTCGTCGAACCCGTCGCGCGCGACGAAGGGCTCGACGAGCGAATTAATCCATAGACACAGCCCACTGAGTTTCTCGCCGGATCTTCTCAGTGGGTCGCGTTTCCGATCCGGTGGTAGATTCTGCGAAGCACCGCTCTTGATAGAACACTCCGGTTTGCGCCCCGTGATCTCACCTACATATTAGGGTGAAGCCTCTTAAGGCTATTAGTATAGGTAGAAAAAAAATATGCCAAGGACCTTCCAACCGACCGACCACAACGAAAATCACCGAAGATCACCGAAGAAACGCGATGAGTAGTATAGAGTATAGACATCAGCGCCTCGACGGAATTTTAATGAAGAATTGGAGTTGTAGTTGGAATATTGAAGACACCATTGAAAAGATCATCGGCTATATTGAATATAGAAGAATTCGGTTTTATTGACAAGATCGGGCGGCTCGGCTTACGTTTAGTAGTGAAAAGTGTTGATTTTGATTTTGAGTGAGCTTGTGCGATATCGTACACCTTAAGGCTTCGTCAAACAGAACGCGTAATTAGCGCGCGTCAGAGCGCTAAACTGACACCGCGCTATGTCGCCGAGATGTGTTGTACTACTATGGTAACCTACCGTCAAACAGAGCCCCAGCGCTATAAGTACGCAGCGCTCCGTCGCGGCGTTAGGACGCTTTGACGTCAGGCGTTGTAATTTTTTACAAATTTTATTTTAGCGTCCGAGTGAATGTGTATTAAAATACTGGATAATGCCCGAAAAATTGATAGAAATAGTTAGAAAATACCCATGCTTATACAATGCCACATCTGAATCACTCGACATCTTAATACTTTTATATTTTCACACTGCTATCGAAAGGCACTATGATTTGGCGAATGCCTTGCGTCAAGGAGCTAGTCAATTTGTGTGACATGAAAAGAGCGCGACGATAAAACGCAGCGCTAAGTACGCGTTCTGTTTGACGAAGTCTTTAGGCGCGAGTAATCGCCAAGAGACGGGCATCCGTCTTATAAGATTGTCAAGAAATCTTATAAGATCAATAAACCCGTCCAAGCCGGCCTGATGTCACTCGCCTTATCGACACTTGTATAACGTGATTGTTAGATACGCATCACGTGTAATGTGTCACAATGATTATTCTAAATTTTGTTGAGTTCCGCCCTGGCATAAAGACGCGGGATGATGCACCCTAAAATGGCGAACACTGATTGAGCGAGGGAAGAAGCAAGACGGTGTTTCGTAGCGTATGGGATATGGCAATTTGTGTACTTTGCAACCTATGGGAAATTGTTGTAATAAAGGTTTTTTCGGTGAAAGCCAAAATGAACGATCTGAATATTAATATGAAAATGAATATACATACTTTATATGCACACAAGTAACAAAATAATACGAAAAGAGACCAAAAAAGGTGCAACAAAAGGCTATTATTTAATCGGACCCGTCCATATCGCTATTTTCACGGTCGTCACTGCTATCATCACCTATATTAATCATAGTCCATCATAATCCCTAGATTATACAATTAATATTTGATTACATTAATTATTATAAGTTTGTTCTCTACCAAATCAAATCAAAAAAAAAATTATTCAACATAAATGAAAGTACATACTTGTTGAACGTCAAAAGAAATACCGCCAATTCACAAAAACTAGCCTCCTCCGAGTAAAATATTATCTATGTTACACCAATAATTATAATCTAATAAAAATTAAAAAAAAATTGTTCACGGAACTCGATAGTTTAGATAATATCAATGTAATAGATAAATTTTGTATCCTAAAATAATACATTCGATAAATGTTATGACTAACTGCACGTCGCTATTGACAATAAAGATCAGCAATTTGCTCTTTCAAATGTAATCTATATATTAAATTCGTGAAGCAAAAACTTTGTATCCCTTTTTACGAAAATTGCGCGGACGGAGGAGTACGAAATTTTCCACACTTATACAGAATATAGAGAAGAAGTGCACAATGCTAATATTTTTTTAACATAATGCATAAAAGATACATTAAATCAATAAAGAAAACATTACATACACTACATACCATGTATTTGACGCACACACGCATGTATACTATTTATTGTCAAACTTTTGTTCTTGACGTCTGTGGTCAAATTGAGTATAGATTAATTATTGTTTGTCTTTATTAATATTTTTCTACAGTATAGTCTTAACGTTGAAAATACAATCATAATAGTGTAAAAACTTACAATTCCAATTAATTATAGTCGAATTTCGACTACTGTGGGACCTCTAGTTACTATTAATACGAAACTTCATGAGTGGACAAATTTCAAAATGACCATCGTAGCGTGCCGGTAGTGTAAACAGTTAGATCATATTTACTTTCAGCAGTCAAAACAACAAATTCATTAGAAGTCGTCGTGGCCTAAAGGATAAGACGCCCGGTGTATTGGTATCTAGCGATGCACCGGTGTTCGAATCCCGCAGGCGGGTACCATTTTTTCTAATGAAATACGTACTCAACAAATGTTCACGATTGACTTCCACGGTGAAGGTATAACATCGTGTAATAAAAATCAAAAACCCGCAAAATTATAATCTGCGTAGTTACTGGTGGTAGGACGTCTTGTGAGTCCGTGCGGGCAGGTACCACTACCCTGCTTATTTCTGTATATATATATATATATAAAACCATTCACCACAAATCATTATTTTCTTAGTCTTATTTTCTCAGGCTTTTTCTGTTTTTTTTTTCAGACAATCATGAGGTGTCTCGGACTGCTTTTCTTCTTGGTGTGCGTGGTGACGTCGGCGCGTGCGTACCACGTGCTCTGCGTGTTCCCGATACCTTCGCGCAGCCACAACTCCCTCGGCAAAGGGATAGTCGACGCCTTGCTTGGAGCTGGACACGAGGTTCGTTTTTGAAGTAATATCTTCTTATGGGAGGGTAAGACGCTTCGTTACGTAACGCGTTACGGCGCCAGTCTGTCTGGCGTCCCTTTCTCGCGCGCATACAACAGCGGTACTAAGAACGCACTTATGTATAAGCCGCGTCAATAAAGAAACGTACTTGCACTGACAGATGGTAAGGTCAACAAATAAAAAGAAAAATAGAATGAAAAAGTTGTTTATTGTAAAAAAAATATAAAAAAACAAATGAGGATGTATTTTACTTTACGTTGTAGATTTCTATGGGCTCCAGTTACTATTTAACACCAGGTGGCCTGTGAGCTCGTCCACTCATCTAAGCAATAAATAAATTTTAAAAAGTTAGGCAATTCTGACCCTTAGTAATAGAAAACGTCATAATTACTTCAGTGCGCCGCGTAGGTCACCGGCGACCTACACGATAGTCAAAGGGCTAATGATGTTTGTCACAAATTAAATTCCGGTGGTAGATTCTGCGAGACACCGCTCTTGCTAGGGTTCGTGTTAGCAACAACTTCAGGTTTGAACCCAGTGAGCTCACCTACTAGTTAAGGTTATGCTGAAATAGCATGTCCAGGCTATCGGCCACAGAAATAATATCAAGATAGAACGGCGAAGTGAGCGTGGCACCCGTGCCAAAACCATGCACTATATTGCATGCTTTTCTAAACGCGCTCTCATTACGCAACATGAGTAGGTTTGTAGGCAGCGGCTTGGCTCTGCCCCTGGCATTGCTGAAGTCCATGGGCGACGGTAACCACTCACCATCAAGTGGGCCGTATGCTCGTCTGCCTACAAGGACAATAAAAAAAGTCCCGCTCCTGCTCTCGCAACGTAAAAATATGGACAAATAGATACAAATATGCCTTATAGTGCTGTGGCAAACAGCAAAAACCAAAATAATGAAGCGAATATGAAGAAAGGAGATATTTCATATCATCAGTAAGTAATGAAATTCAGTAAAAAGACTTCTTTTTGAGAAACCAAATACTGGTTCTACTTTTACTATGTTCGTTGATTTATTTCTGTGCTATCAGCATAGGTAGGAGATAAATCGGCATCACTGCGCCACTTTGAGAAGGCGGCACGACATGAGAACCCTCTTGTCGTGGCCCCTGGAAACTACATACCCGACCCGGTAGACCGAATGGTAAACCGTCGACGACGCCAAAAGCACGTCATTACGGATTCTCCTGATCCATTAACGGTGCTTTTAGGCACCACAAGCACCGGTCACCGTCCTCGTCGAACCAGTCACTTGTGACGAAGAGCTCGATGAGCGAATTAACCCATAGACACAGTCCACTGAGTTTCTCGCCTGATCTTCTCAGTGGGTCGCGTTCCGATCCGGTGGTAGGTTCTGCGAAGCACTGCTCTTGCTAGGGCCAGTGTTAGCAACACTCCGGTTTGAGCCCGGTGAGCTCACCTACACGCTAGGGTGAAGCTAAAGTAGCCTCTCAAGGCTATCAGCATAGTTAGGAAAACAAAGGTAATAAAAAATAAAAAATCTAATTAACCGACTCCTGCTCCGAAGAAGGAGGTCGTCAATTAGACGATACTATTTTATGTGCGTCTTATTTTGGAACTTTTGTTTTCTAGGTCAAACGATTTTTAATGATGCTTTAATGATCCCTCTGAAATCTGGTGTTTGTCATATTGTATTGGTTGCACCTTATCAAGAACAGACCAGTCATTTTCGGGTTATCCTTAATAATGAATATTTAATTAACTTGGACCGGATTAATGATTTTCTCATTTTATTTTGTATTTTGTCAAATTTTTTTTTTCGATACGTTAGCATATTATTTCAACAAACTAGCTAACGATTCGGTTTCTGATTTAGAAAAATTGAGAACGCGTGGATTCCCTTCAACAGACCGGTCATCATCCTAGTCGAACCTACAGACACAGCCCACTGACTTTCTCGCCGGATCTTCTCAGTGGGTCGCGTTTCCGATCCGGTGGTAGATTCTGCGAAGCACTGCTCTTGCTAGGGCCAGTGTTAGCAACACTCTGGTTTAAGCCCCGTGAGCTCATCTACACGTTAGGGTAAAACTGAAATAGCCTCTCAAGGCTATCAGTATTCAGCATAGGTAGGTAAAAAAAGAAAAAAACGTGCTTAGTCCCTATACTATATTACAGCGAATCTTAGCCCTTGACCTATTATTACCCACACGGGAATATACTATAATAATAATTGGGTCTCTTTTTGCCGCGTATCTTGCTTTCCTATTTTAAGAGTGAGACAACCATATTATAATATTATTGTGACGTCATGCCTCGTCATCGTGGTATCCCCAACGGAAGTTTCCAACATGGCCGCTTGACGTAGAGAATGAAGCTTCATATTCTTTTCCAGGTGACCTGGGTGACTCCGTATCCTCCGAGCGAACTGGCCAAAGGTCTGAAGATAGTCGACGTCAGCGCTACAGTATCTATAAGTAAAAGTAAGCGATTTTTTTTTATTGCCCTTGTAGGCAGACGAGCATACGGCCCACCTGATGGTGAATGGTTACCGTCGCCCATGGACTTCAGCAATGCCAGGGGCAGAGCCAAGCCGCTGCCTACCGCTTAATACTCTCCACAAGCCTCGTTTGAAGAAGGACATGTCATAGAAATCTGTTACGATAACTAAGTTAGGTTTGTTGAACGAATTTCGACTTTAACATCTTAGGTTTTAGATAGAGTTTTCTTAGTCACGTTTGTTTTAAGCAACTTCTAGAACATTCGAGATCAGCAGTAATTTCTATGTGCGTATGTTTTTAATAGGCCCTGGGATTGATGTGGTCGTGGCTTAAAGGATAAGACGGCCGGTGTTCTTGTATACCGTGATATTGGTATAGCGTGAAGTAGTTACTGGCGGTAGGACCTCTTGTGAGTCCGCGCGGGTAGGTACCACCACTCTGCCTATTTCTACCGTGAACCAGTAATGCGTTTCGGTTTGAAGGGCGGGGCAGCCGTTGTAACTATACTTGAGACCCTAGAACTTATATCTCAAGGTGGGTGGCGCATTTACGTTGTAGATGTCTATGGGCTCCAGTAACCCCGTAACATCAGGAGGGCTGTGAGATCGTCCACCCACCTCAGCAATAAAAAATAAATAGTTACTATTTCTCTTTAGAACGATTCTAAGACTTTGAGTTTGCTATAGCGTCTTCTGAGTCCGCACGGGTAGGCACCACCGCTCTGCCTGCCTCTGCCGCGAAACAGTATGGCTTGAAGGAGCCAGCCGTTGTATACCTATGTTACGATAAATGTACACTCTTGGGAAATGTACACTTTTACCGGTAAATGGGCACATTTGCCAAAAAGTTAGGTATATGTGAACTGAATATAATGTATATGTACATTTCCCGGCAAATGTGTACCCTTGTCTTCACGTTTTGGTAAATGTATACACTTACTTTCATGTTTTAAGAAAAGTTGGAATACAAGAAAATTAATAATGTTTTTGCAGTAAAAAATATCTATTTACTTAAATAAACAATACAAAAGGCTTTAATAACGAAGATTATTTTATTAAAAAAAAATGTAAATGATAAACAAAACATACTTTTCTTTGCATATTATATAATATGTCGTAGGTTAGGTTAGGTTAGGTTGTAGTCCCTGTATGGGGCCCCTGTGTGGGCGATGGACATGACGGCCAGCACACTCGCCATTCTGCGTAAGCCGCAGAGGGTGATGGCCGTCAGAGTCATCCGCGGGTACCGCACGATTTCCTACGAGGCGGCTTGCGTCCTGGCCGGATCCCCGCCCTGGGACCTAGAGGCGAAAGTACTCGCGTCATTATATCGATGGCGCGAGGAAGAGCGGGCACGGGGCTCGAGGCTGGTGCAGCGGCAGATCGCGCTGCGCCGAGAGGAGCTCCGTCTGGCCTTGGTGGCGGAATGGCGGCAAAGGCTTCTGCGCCCTACCGCCGGCCTCGCAACCGTCGAGGCGATCCGGCCAGTACTCGACGACTGGCTCGGGAGAAGGCACGGATCCCTGTCGTTTAGGGTGACACAGGTGCTGTCGGGGCACGGTTGCTTCGGCAAGTACCTGTGCCGCATAGACAGGGAGCCGGACGCTCGGTGCCACCACTGCGTCCACTGCGGGGAGGACACGGCGCAACACACGCTCGCCGAGTGTGTAGCTTGGGAGGAGCAGCGCCGTGTCCTCACAAATGAAGTAGGAAGCGATCTGTCGCTGCCGGCCGTAGTGCGGAGGATGGTCGGCAGCGCAGAGTCGTGGGACGCGGTGGTGTCCTTCTGCGAGGACGTGATGTCGCAGAAGGAAACTGCGGAACGGGAGAGGGAGATCTCGACTCCCTTTCCCGGCCGCAGAAGGCGCACCGGGCGCAGGACAAGGGCGGACAATGCCCTTTTCCGCCCCCCATGAATGGGTCCAGGGGCGAGGGACTTGGGAAAGCCCTCGCCCCCTATTCGATGGACCTGAGACGGAGGCGCATGCGGGTGTCGGCGCGTGCCTCTGAGGCGATGCACGGAGTAGCTGAACGCCTCACTACTCCGTGCAGGAGACGAGGCCTGGATAGACCGGGCCAGCACTGGTGTGGGGCTGCGGAAGAATTTTGGATTCCCGCGGCCCTGCGCGCACGTGTGGGTGGACACCGGGGTGGTTTTAGCCGGTAGGAGTCCGGCACGCCCCTTCGCTTTTCCCTAGGCGAAGGTAGTCCATGAGGATTTCCCCCCGAGAAAAAAAAAAAAAAAAAAAAAAAAAAAAAAAGGTTAGGTTGTAGTAGTGCGCACCACACTACTAGCGCTTGCGATTTAGTATTTTGTATGCCATGGTCACATTTACCAAAACGACATGATCATTGCGAATTCAATGTACATTTCCCTTCTTTGAAATTGTAAATGTTAGTTGAATGCACATTACCCAAACGAGGAGGCAATTGTGCATATTTACCGGAAATTGTGTACATTTGCTGCAATATCTGCTTTTACCGTAACATATATAATATAATACTACTATATAGCTACGACATAGAGCTCTTGTCTCGATTTCGTTGTCAACGACGCTGTTAATGTCAATAGGCACCAGAGATTCAGTCATCTTTTTTTTTATTGCTTAGGTGGGTGGACGAGCTCACAGCCCACCTGGTGTTAAGTGGTTACCGGAGCCCATAGACATCTACAACGTAAATGCGCCACCCACCTTGAGATATAAGTTCTAAGGTCTTAAGTATAGTTATAACGGCTGCCCCACCCTTCAAACCGAATCGCATTATTGCTTCACGGCAGAAATAGGCGGGCTGGTGGTACCTACCCGCGCGGACTCACAAGAGGTCCTACCACCAGTACTTAATTACGCAAATTATAATTTTGCGTGTTTCATTTTTATTACATGATGTTATTCCTTCACCGTGGAAGTCAATCGTGAACATTTGTTATGTACGTATTTCATTAGAAAAATTGGTACCCGCCTGAGATTCGAACACCGGTGCATCGCTCAACACGAATGCACCGGACGTCTTATCCGTTAGGCCACGACGACTTCAAACCTGAGTTCAACATGCATGACACTAATTTCGTAATGTAAATTCCGCAATGTCCATAGGCACCAGAGATTCAGGCATCTGTCAAATATCTTGTGTTGTACGACAGCTACCGCCATTTATCTATCTTTCATCCTTCTTAGCGGTGGACATGCATGAGCAGAGAAACTCGAATACTGGTGTATCTTTCGTGAAGGCTTTGGCCGAGAACATCACCAGGGTTTCCCTGGCAACGCCGGCTCTACAGCAGGCGATCGTCCAGGGGAAATACGACGCGGTCATCACGGAATCGTTCTTCAACGATGCCGAAGCTGGGTTAGTACGGTCATTGCTATTTTGATTTGGTGGTGCGTTCAGCGAAGCACTGCTCTTGCCGGGGCTGGCACGGGATATCTCAGGCTCAGCCCCCGGACCGGACGTAGCGTAGCTGGAACAGTTGTTAGGCTACCAATGAATGGTTGGGAAACTAAGAAACTTCTTTATTCTTTACTAGCGACCCGCCCTCGCTTCGCTTCGGAAACATTAAAACACACATGAAACCAATAAAATAAAATAAAAAATAAATAAAAAAAAGTAGCCTATGTTCATCAGGGACAATGTCGGCTTCTAATGGAAAAATAATTTTTCAAATCGGTCCAGTAGTTTCGGAGCCTATTCGAAACAAACAAACAAACAAATCTTTCCTCTTTATAATATTAGTATAGAGTATAGATTGTACACACAGTTAATACAATACAATAATTGCGAAAAGCTATAAAATGGCGACCCTAACTCAACAATTGAGTTATCTAACCGTTCTTAAAGAGGGAAAGCTTTACGTAAGTGGGTAGAAGAATTCAATCTAATCAATTTACTTATTGATACAATACACAATAACGATAATAATAATAAATAAATAACACTATATAGATACACAATTACACACATAAATAACATAAACATATAAATACACGTACATATATTGTTTGGCACCGCAGTAAAAAGTTTAGTTGCAAAGCAACAGAGCTGTCATTTATATTTTTATAATTTTTAAATTTTGTTTCTAATGTCAGTAAGAATAAACTGTCAGCCATGAAAGTTGCATCATAATTTTATTTTATTGTAAAAATCTTCCTCCTCACAAATATAAATATCTAAATAAGAAACCGTCCGCTACATGGTCCTTCGAGCCGAATACCCAGGAAATAAGGGAAGTGATCAAAGTTTGATATTCAGGACAAATTAGTGATGTGTAACCCATTACTCTGTTTTTTTTGTTTAGATTATTTATATTTATCATATTACAAGCTGGGTTAACTATGTGGTTTGTTTAATGTGTTTTTGTTGGCATTTTTTTGGTAATAGTCACACTTCTAAAATTATTACTTATTTATTAATTATAGGTGTGTACATAATAGTGTGACTGTATAGTTCATTTTAGTTGTCATTATAGTTCATTATTTCAATTGTAACTTCTATCAATGCCAGATTAACTATCCCGCTTCTGCCCAAATACTTTCAAAATGAGTGAGAAAGATCAAAAGGAACTAGTTAAAAAACGAGCTAGTCTAAAAGGCCGATTGACTACATTCAGAAAGTACATCGAGGAATTGAGCGGTACGTTGAAAGCAACAAGTAAATGAATTGCAATTAAGAATTGAGTAAGATCGAATTATTATTTGAACAATATGACGTAGTACAAACTAAAATAGAATGCCTCGCTGACGATTTTAGTTCGCAAAGCACAGAGAGAGAAGATTTCGAATCGATTTATTACAAATCCCTTTCACAGGCTCAGGAGATTCTTTCTCGTAATTCTAAATTGTTACAAACCGATGCGCATAGTTTTGAGAGTTGTTCTCATGTGAGCAATCGTCGCCTGGTTAAATTACCTACCATTACTCTACCCAAATTTAATGGTTCATATAACAACTGGCTGGAATTCCATGACACCTTCAGTAGTCTTATACATTCGAACGAGGCGATAGGAGAAATTAATAAATTCCACTACCTCAGGGCCTCGCTAGAAGGCTCTGCTGCTGTACTACTTCAGGAGATTCAGTTCTCTGCCAGCAACTATTCTGTGGCGTGGAAGCTGTTATGTGAGAGGTACGATAATAAGCGCCTATTAATTCAAACACATGTTAATAATTTATTTAATATAGACGCAATAAAGAGTGAATCTTCGTTTAATTTAAGACGTTTCATAGATCAGCTGAATAAAAGCCTGAGAGCTTTAGAGTCGCTGGGCGAACCGACTGATCATTGGGACACTCTTCTCATCCACATGATGAGTCGTAAAATCGAACAGAAGACGCTGCGTGAATGGGAAGAGTGCAAAGGTCGTCTTGATAAAGAAANCCGCAGGATCGGGAATGTAGTTACCGGCGGCCACGATGAGAGGGTTCTCGTGTCGTGCCGCTTTATCGAAGTGGCGCATGGACGCCGACTGCAGATACTTACTGATGGACTCTAAGTCCAGGTCGTCATGGAGGTCGACGTTCCTGACGAACCACGGGGCTCCGACGGCTATCCTGCAAAAACGGGATTGAATAATTTGAAAGGATTTTAAGTGTATGCGGGCCGCGTGAGCGAACACTACACTTGCATAGGTCATGACGGGGCGTATGCAAGTTTTGTAGAGTGTCACCTTATTTCTAAGGGACATTTTACTTCGCCTACATATCATCGGGTAGAGACGTCCTAGGATGAAGGCGGCACGGTCGCGTACCGTCTTGATGTGGGGGCGGAATGTCATCCTACTGTCGAGGGTGACGCCTAAAGACTCGGTTCCGTTCGTGTATTAAGCAACATTACACGACAAAGAAAGAAACATGTTAGGTGATAGTGTGATGTTTGTTTCCTTCGCGTAATGTGTGATGTTGCATTACATCTTAGAGTAATATTACCGGAGTAATATCACTCGCATTACTTACACATGTCTATTGCACACACACACACACACATTTTTCTAATATGAGCCTAAAGAACCTGGCTTAAATAATTAAGGTCGAAGCGAGACTTCTTAGACCTGGCTCGTATTCCCCGTCTTCTTTGCAAGGGACCACATCGCCTTATTTGAGGGCGTGTAGGAAAGAAACGAATTTTTGACTTGTAACGTGTGTTTTCTGCCGTGAAGCAGTAATGCATTTCGGTTTGAAGGGCGGGGCAGCCGTTGTTACTATACTGAGATCTTAGAACTTATATCTCAAGGTGGGTGGCAGTATTTGCGTTTTAGATGTCTATGGGCTCCAGTAACTATTGAACGCCAGGTGGGCTGCTAGCTCGTCCACCCATCTAAGCAATATAAAAAAAAAACTTATTTCAGTTACGGGGCAGTACTTCAAGTGCCCTGGATCTTGATGTCCAGCATCGCAATGATGCCTCAGTTGGAAGCCATCGTCGATGAGGTGCGGTCGGTCACCACCATACCGCTGCTGTTCAACAACGCCCCAACCCCCATGGGTTTCTGGGACAGGCTGAAGAATATCTTCCTCCACAGCGCCATGGTGATATCTGATTGGTAAGCGAGACTTTATTTAGGGGAGTTTCATTAACCATGCGTTGTTTGTGTAAATGGAGCAGGAAGTATGGATGGGTGTACCGGAGGGGGGAAGGCGTAAGGGGGGCCAAGTACCGCTGGTCTGACGTTGTGGAACACGAGCTCCAAGTGGCAGACTGGCCAGGTGTGACCATTTTCATCGGTTCTCGCGATATTCAATACTATTTTTACGTATTTTTTTAATTTTGTTATATTATTGTCATAACTTTGCGGTATTGCGGTATTTTGGTCTTGTTGCACGTAGGGATACCAACAATTTTGAACGCCTTGTGGTGACCGGTAAAATAGAGGGAAAAAGGCCTAGGGTTAGAGGTCCCAATTGATGGCCGGGCCAAATAGCGGAGGAACTGAGGGTACCTGTCAGCGACGCACTCCACCAAGCTACAAAACGGGATCGATGGAGACAGCTGGTTGAAAGAATCTGACGGAGTAACGATTCTCAGCAGTGAGGGACCGATCGAAGAGAGAGAGAGTCATAACATAATTTTAGTCGTTTCGGAGAAACAGTTCATTAGTTTTCGTGTAGATTAAGCTCTAAGGTTTTTTTTTTGGTCTGAAATTGGTCGACTTGGCTTACAGGCTAGACCGCCCCAAGACGGTGGCATTCTACGAGTCCCTATTCGCGCCGCTGGCCGCCGCCCGAGGGGTCGCGCTGCCCCCCTTCGAGGAAGCCCTGTACAACGTGTCGGTGCTGTTTGTGAACTCCCACCCGGCTTTCGCTCCGCCCCTGAGCTTGCCCCCGAACGTCGTCGAAATCGCGGGCTACCATATCGACCCAAAAACACCCCCCTTGCCGAAGGTAAGGCATTACTTTGAAAACGCGAATTCTGATGGCTCTCAAATGCGAAACTCGTGATGCGGTTTATAGTCGGAAGTCGTTGTGGCCTAACGGATAAGACGTCCGGTGCATTACGTGTTGTAGCGATGCACCGGTGTTCGAATCCCGCAGGCGGGTACCAATTTTTGTAATGAAATACGTACTCAACAAATGTTCACGATTGACTTCCACGGTGAAGGAATAACATCGTGTAATAAAAATCAAACCCGCAAAATTATAATTTTCGTGATCACTGGTGGTAGGACCTCTTGTTAGTCCGCACGGGTAGGTACCACCACCCCGCCTATTTCCGCCGTGAAGCAGTAATGCGTTTCGGTTCGAAGGGTGCGGTAGCCGTTGTAACTATACCTGAGATCTTAGAACTTATATCTCGAGGTGGGTGGCGCATTTACGTTGTAGATGTCTATGGGCTCCAGTAACCACTTAACACCAGGCGGGCTGTGAGCTCGTCCATCCAACTAAGCAATAAAAAAATATATATATATATATAGGCATCACAAATGGCCATTCAAGTTGGAATGCAGGTCTAACTCGCAGATGAAATCAGCAGCATTGTGGTGACTTTGTTTTACTAATCACACTGATTTGTATGTAAATAAAAACCAAAACTCAAAAAGAACCACCCTTGCCAGAAGTAAGTCACTATTTTCCGATTGTGTCAATATAACCGGCAAAGACTTATAGAAACTTAAAGTTTTCTTTTGTTATTCATTTGATTATGGAAGCTTTGAGAGCCGCATTGATTTGAAACCCGATGTACTGAAACAGCGACACTAGAAAGAGACGAAACATAAAGAGTAATCGACTATGAATATGGCACGACATTAAAACAGTCCGAGCGCTCACTGAAGCACTCGAACGACTGTGATACGTCACGTAGGTAGTGTGCGACAGAGATAGCGCAATACAAAGCCGAAATCAATCGATCATTCATGCTCTTGTTCATGTTCATGTTCATGCTCTTGTTCATGTTCATGTTCATGTTCATGTTCACGTTCACGTTCACGTTCACGTTCACGTTCATGTTAATGTATGTTTCGCACTCGCATTCATATTGTATTGGATACCAACATGTTATACATCAGCACACTACACTACAAGTAACATAAATATTAATAGGTAGTAATAGGTACTCGTCCGCTGAAATAGCCTCTCAAGGCTATCAGCTTAAGTAGGAAAAAAAGGTACTCGTAAATGCTAAAACACGTGCCAACGACACGTGCCAACCTCATGCAATAGTGAAACACACGATTCATTATTTTGTTTAAAAATAGAACAATAATACTACACTAGAGGTCCCGCAGTAGTCGAAATTCGACTATAATTAATTGGAATTGTAAGTTTGTACACTATTACGATTGTATTTTATACTTCTATAATCACAAATTTCGCCAAGACTACACTATAAAAAATGTTAATAAAGACAAACAATATTTAATCTATTCTCAATTTGACAACAGACGTCAAGAACAAAAGTTTGACAATAAATAGTATGCATGCGTGTGTGCGTCAAATACATGGTATGTAGTGCGTGTAATGTTTTCTTTATTGATTTAATGTATCTTTTATGCATTATTTAAAAAAAATATTAGCATTGTACACTTCTTCTCTCTATTCTCTATAAGTGTGGAAAATTTCATACTCCTCCGTCCGCGCAATTTTCGTAAAAATGGATACAAAGTTTTTGCTTCACGTATTAATATATAGATTAGCTATTACATCAAGTAAGGTTTTAGTTGTCGACTTATCGTCCAAAACATGCGACAGGGTCAGCAAAAACGTCCAAATAATACCGGCTGGGTCTAATTATTTGATTCTCCGATCAGTCTATTGAGAACCGCACACTTACCGAGCCCGTCCAGTATCTAAAACCCCTGTAGACCATCAACCTCCCGTCATGACTTACGCGAGTGTGGTGTTCGCTCACGCGGCCCGCACACACATAGACACCCTCCAAGCTCTACAATCCCGCTTTTCCAGGTTAGCCGTCGGAGCTCCGTGGTTCGTGAGGAACGTTTACCTATACGACAACCTGGGCCTCGAATCTATCCAGAAATACATGAAGTCAGCGTCGGAACGGTACTTCGATAAGGCTATGCGTCATGATAATCGCCTTATCGTTGCCACCGCTGACAACTCCCCGAATCCTGATCACGCAGGAGCCAGTCACCGTCGACGCTCTAGACACGTCCTTACGGATCCATCAGATCCAATAACCTTTGCACTAGACGCCTTCAGCTCTAACACTAGGACCAGGCTTAGGGACCCCGGTAACCGTCGAACTCGACAAAGAGTTCGCTGTGCAACCTAACCCATGAATCAGCTCGCTGAGAAGATCCGGCGAGAACGCCGGATCTTCTCAGCGGGTCGCGATTCCGATCCGGTAGTAGATTCATTCGGGAAGCAGCTACTCTTGAGCTGTTAGGTCTCCTTCGGAGGCGCTCGGGTAGCTGTTAGCAAATCCCACCCCTCCGCTCGGCCACCTGTCCTGGTGAAACTGGAAAGGCCTCCGGGCCACCAGTAATCCTTCAATCATAAAAAAAAAACCATCAACCTCGAAGCAGTTATTCGAGTCAACGGCTCATTAGAGCCAGTGGTAGGGTAGACAGAGAGTCGTCGTGGCCTAAAGGATAAGAGTGATAAGACGTCCGGTGCATTCGTATGTAGCGATACAATGATGTTCGAATCCCGCAGACGAGTACCAATTTTTCTAATGAAATACGTATTTAACCAATTTTAATGTTTCACGATTGACTTCCACGGTGAAGGAATAATATCGTGCAATAAAAATCAAAGCCCGCAAAAAATTTAATTTGCGTAACTACTGGCGGCCGGACCTCTTGCGAGTCCGCATGGGTAGGTTTTTTTATTTTTTTATTGTTTAGATGGGTGGACGAGCTCAAAGCCCACCTAGTGTTAAGTGGTTACTTGAGCCCATAGACATCCACAACGTAAATGCGCCACCCACCTTGAGATACAAGCGCTAAGGTCTCAAGTATAGTTACAACGGCTGCCCCACCCTTCAAACCGAAACGCATTACTGCTTCACGGCAGAAATAGGCAGGGTGGTGGTACCCACCCGCGCGGACTCACAAGAGGTCCTACCACCAGTAATTAAGCAAATTATAATTTTGCGGGTTTCATTTTTATTACACGATGTTATTCCTTCACCGTGGAAGTCAATCGTGAACATTTGTTGAGTACGTATTTCATTAGAAAAATTGGTACCCGTCTGCGGGATTCGAACACCGGTGCATCGCTTCAACACAAATGCACCGGACGTCTTATCCGTTAGGCCACGACGACTATTAAACCACCACCACCACCACTCCACCTATTTCTGCCGTGAAGCAGTAATACGTTTTGTAGGGCGGGGCAGCCGTTGTAACTATACTTGAGACCTTTGAACTCATATCTCAAGGTGTGTGGTGCATTTTGGACTCCAGTAGCTGTGAGCTCGTCCAGCCATCAAAGCAATAATTCGTAGTGTCTATGTCATACATACTTCGAGACTTTCAAAAGTCCTTAAATCCCTGAGTGACGTCATCAACCTTATGTTTGTCGGCGTCCAGGACCTGCAGCACATCCTGGACTCGTCGCCGCAGGGCGTGGTCTACTTCAGCATGGGCTCGGTGCTCAAGTCGTCCAAACTCTCCGAACAAACTAGACGAGAGTTATTGGATGTGTTCGGGTCTATACCGCAGACTGTCCTTTGGAAGTTCGAAGAGGATCTCCAAGATCTACCGAAGAACGTTCACATTAGATCGTGGATGCCTCAGTCCAGTATACTAGGTATGTTCACAAGTAGCGTGCAAGTTTTCGTGGCCTAAAGGATAAGACGGTCGGTGCATTCGTATCGAACGATGCGGTGGTGCCGTGGTTCGAATCCCGCAAACAGGTACCAGTTTTTGTAATGAAATACTTAATTTACAAAAATTCACGAACCACTTCTACAGTGAAAGAATAATAACATCGAGTATTAAAAATCAAGCAATAAATGTAATATGCGTAATCATTAAACAGTCGAAACATATACTGGTGGTAGGACTTCTTGTGCGTCCGTCAGAAAGTACCTACCACCAGTAAATACGTAAACTATAATTTTTGCGGTTAAATTAACATTACCCCCCCTCTTTTCACCACAGCTCATCCGAACATGAAGGTCTTCATCACGCACGGCGGCTTACTCAGCATCCTCGAGACCTTGCATTACGGAGTACCGATCCTCGCTGTGCCGGTGTTCGGGGACCAGCCTTCGAACGCCAATAGCGCTGTCCGTAACGGATTTGCGAAAAGTATAGAGTACAAGCCTGATATGGCTAAGGACATGAAGGTGGCCCTGAATGAAATGCTGAGCGACGACAGGTGAGCTAATTAGGAATCATTAATAAAAATTAATATTCGCCAATAAAACTTCATCATTTTATGTATTACAGAACTAAAACTACATTAACCCTTTGACTGCCGTATAGGTCACCGGTAGGGTTGCCACGTTTTTTTTTTTGCAGGCAGAGTACATTGGTTATTATGGGCAGGAAAAAAAGTACATTACAGTATTAAAATAAAGTACAATTTATTTATTATTATTATGTTTAAATACATATTGTTTATTACTACCTATTGATAAAATTAAACACGAAATTGTGACAATTAATGACAATGACATTCTTGACATTTGAGGTTAAGTTGCTAGTCGTTATGGCGTTGGCGAGTGGTGACATCGATTGAGCAATCGATGTCACCACTTAAAAAAAAAAAAGTTAACAAAAAAGTACATATGACTAAACTTTTCAAAATCCCAAAGGAATCAAATAATGCTAAATAAAGTATTTTCGTGTACTTACTTTATTTTTCACATAAAATATAGAGTACAATTAGCTGAAAAAACGTACAATACTTTATTATGAAGTACAGGTGGCAACCCTAGTCACCGGTGCCCTACGCGGCGCACTGTAGTAATTACGTCGATTTCTATTACTAAGACGTCTGGATTGCCTAACTCTTTGCCTTCTTTTGTTTGTTAATGTATGTTTTATTATTTAAGGTCCCTTAGAAATAGATTACTTACTGGTGGTAGGACCTCTTGTGAGTCCGCACGGGTAGGTATCAACGCCCTGCCTATTCCTGCCGTGAAGCAGTTTCGGTTTGAAGGGTGGGACAGCCGTTGTAACTATATTGAGACCTTACAACTTATATCTCAAGGTGGGTGGCGCATTTACGTTGCAGATATCTATGGGCTCTAGTAACCACTTAACACAAGGTGGCCTGTGATCTCGTCCACCCATCTAAGCCATAAAAAAGCCTATTATAATTTTTTTCAGTTACTACAAACGTGCGAGATATCTGTCGAAGATCTTCGGCGATAAGTTGGTGCCGCCGGCCAAGCTGATATCGCATTACGTGAAGGTCGCCATTGAAACTAATGGTGAGTAATATTCGTCGGTGAAGCAGTCGTAGGTTCTGTTCGATTGGGTGCTAGTCATATGCGAAACAGCCTTGGGCGTGTGGATCTCCTCTTCATACCCACTCTTGGCTTGGTAGAGCTCTGCTGTCCAGCAAGAGTACCTGCCAAATAGAGTATTCTTCTTCTTTTTCACTCCTCTCTCTCTCTCTCTCTCATATCGTCATTCACACACTCCATCCATGTCTTCTTCGGTCGACCTATTCCCCCTCCACCTTGTACTACCATTTCCATACATCTCCTAGTCACGTGCATCTTCTCTCTACGCATCATATGTCCATACCACGCTAACCGTCCACTCTTTAATTTTTTGCTTACCGGGGCTACTTTCACACTTCTCCACATAGTATAAAACAAAGTCGCTTTCACTGTCCCTATATCTGTCTGTCCCTATGTATGCTAAAATCTTTAAAACTACGCAACGGATTTTGATGCGGTTTTTTTTAATAGATAGAGTGATTGAAGAGGAAGGTTTATATGTATAATAACATCCATTAAATAGTGGAGAAATCAATGATAAATTACAGTTTCCGAAGCGAAGCGAGGGCGGGTCGCTAGTCTCTGATATACTCATTCTTTATCTCGTCCATTCGTGTCACTCCACACATTCATCTCAACATTCCCATCTCTGTCGCATTCACTCCTCTTTCATGCTTTACTTTTACGCAGCTAGAATGATAGAAGCCGATTAGTCTTCTCAATTTATACATATAAATAAAATTTGAGTGTCTGTTTGTAATATTGTAATAAGCGCTTTTTACTACATGCGTATGAATATATATACGGTACATACACCAAAATAACATTTTTTACAATTTTTGTCTGTCTGTCTGTTTGTTCCGGCTAATCTCCGGAACGGCTGGACCGATTTTGACGGGACTTTCACTGACAGGTAGCTGATGATATAAGGAGTAACTTAGGCTACTTTTTTTAGACTAGCTTCGCCCCGCAGTATTACCCGCGGTACGACAATAACCGCGGGTAAAATCGTGGGACTCGGCTATCAATAATGTTTCCGAAGCGAAGCGAGGGTGGGTCGCTAGTTATAATATATGTTACAGGAGCCTACCATCTGCGCTCTAAGAGCCTGCTGTATCCGTGGTACCAGCGTTGGCTCGTGGACATCATAGCGGCGTTGCTGCTGGTGTGCTTCGCGGTGTACCTAGTGGCCAGGAGGGTCTTGTGTTACCTCTACACCTCCGTGACCAGTGGGGGCTGTAACAGGAGTGTTAAAGTCAAGAAAAACTAATCTCTTAACTTATCGCCTATGTATATAATTTTTGTTGATATATAAAACATGACATATATTAGACATTTCTATTAATATTTCAACAAATAGTACTGTTTTACTTGTTAAATTTCAATTTCAAAGTATGTTTTCATTAGGTATTCTTTTTTTATTATTATTATTGTATTCCATCTTCGAGCCGATGAATTGAGAATGCTATGTCCGCCATTATTGTCACATGCATCAATTAAATATAGGCCATAAATTAAATAGTTTAAGACATTTTCAATGTTAAATGTTTGTGATGTGGCAGTACTTTTTTAAATAATTAAATAAATAAATAATAAACATTTATTTTAATTTCGTTGTTTTTAAATATGTTTACTGTACACTGGTATTGACGATACAATTACCAGTGCCCGTGGACATCGACAACGTAAATGCCGCCACCCAGCTCGAGACTCTAAGCTTAAGGCTGCGTTCCCGCTGATGCGGAGTTAAGCCGCATCTAACGGTATTCCGATTAGTTAAATTCAATGTCTTATAAGAAATTGACACGTATTGTTGTCGATAAAGATACGGGAAACGCTTTTAGATCTTTCTTCTATATCTATACTAATACTATAAAGAGGAAAGATTTGTTTGTTTGTTTGTATTGAATAGGCTCCGAAACTACTGAACCGATCTGAAAAATTATTTCACTGTTTGGAAGCTACACTATTCCCGAGTGACATAGGCCATAAGCTTTTTTGAAAAAAATTAGAGATCCTTACTAAAACTCCAATAATGTAACCCAAGTGTAAAAAAATTATCTAAAATATTCTTTATATCGCGTGCCCTACGAAAACTATTGATGATAGAATAATATATTGTACTACGACTTTGTAGAACACATTCTTATTTACAAAAAGTGTCGCGACAGCATATTGTGTCTAACTATTATAGTTATGCCGCAATAAGTGTTGTTTTATTTAAAAAAATAAAACAACGTCAAATATCGTCGAAATTTTTGTCAAAGACCCGAGCGGAGCCCAAACGGGCCGCTTGTCTGCTATAAGACATGGGAAATGACACATTAAGGCCTCATCTGCGCGGGAGTTTTTTTAGCGCGCGTTAAAAAAGCGTTCAAATAGAACAGATGCATTTCCTAGTACTAGTGGTCCTGCAGTAGTCGAAATTCGACTATAATTAATTGGAATTGTAAGTTTGTACACTATTATGATTGTATTCTATACTTCTATAATCACAAATTTCGCTAAGACTACACTATAGAAAAATATTAATAAAGACAAACAATATTTAATCTATTCTCAATTTGACAACAGACGTCAAGAACAAAAGTTTGACAATAAATAGTATGCATGCGTGTGTGCGTCAAATACATGGTATGTAGTGTGTGTAATGTTTTCTTTATTGATTTAATGTATATTTTATACATTATCTTAAAAAAATATTAGCATTGTGCACTTCTTCTCTATATTCTCTATAAGTGTGGAAAATTACATACTCCTCCGTCCGCGCAATTTTCGTAAAAAGGGATACAAAGTTTTTGCTTCACGTATCAATATATAGATTCACATGTGTGGGTATGTGGGGTCTTCCACGTGGTTCATTCTTCAAATCAAAATTTCCATCACGTTTATCAGACCAAAATCGCATAGTGCGTTCATTGAGCACTCTGGATCCAAACCAGCCTTTAGGTTAAGGTAGTTTTCATGTTAATTTTGAGTTTTTTGTTTTATTATTATTGTTATTATTATTAATTGTTTTTTTGTTTTTATTATTGTTTTTATTATTAATGCAGTGTAATGAAGTGTAATATGGATGCAAAATCTGAAATAAATAAAATAAATTAGCAGTCCCCTCTCCAAACGAACCATCGATATTGCGAGCTGTTTCTGCAGCGTTAGTACCGCGTTGGAACTCGTATTCAAAAATCACTCGAATTTTTAAAGTATTCATCTTTCTTGTTTAATAAAAAAAACAACTGAAAGTCGATAATCGAATGTGCATATTTTAGAAGTTATACTGCTTTAGGCGCGTTATGAAAAATTGATGAGAGTGAAATTTTACGATGCGCGCGCACCGTGACACAAAATTAACAGAATGAAGTTGCCCACTAAATCACTCATTACAATACGACCGACGTAATTTGGCGAGTCTGAATATAGCCGCAGGTGAACTTTCCGAAACGTACCGAGAATTACCGAATTTATACGATATCAAGAAAAGGGATGTCCAATATGCGTGTTTGAGGATGTTGTTTAATCGATTTTTTTTCAAATTGATTAAAATTTAAATAACAAAATAAAAAAAAATTTAATAAAAATAAAGTATAACTTCTGACGCGCGTACATAAGTACACGCACCCTTTTTTTTAAAGAAGAACCTTATAGGTGCCATTTGAAAAAGTTTCACACAAAAATCTCAAACCACGAAGGTTCTATGTCAATTCGAAGTACCTATTACAATAAAACGGCAATTTCATACTTTAACCCCTACTAAATGACTTCATAAAGGACAATGCCCATTTGTGGCCCAGAAACGCCCAGTTAACGTATATTACAAAATTGCTATAATAAATAAAAACTAGAATTATGTTGTTAATTTTAAATCATATGAAGCACTGGATAAAAATTAAAAAAAAAATAAGACTTTTATTGACATTGCAGTACGTAACATAATTTTTTTAATCATTAATTCATGCTTTATTTATTACGGTCTGGTTGACACTATACAATGGAGACAGACTAGATATTTCCAAATAACTGATATGTTTATTTGATAGCATACAGATAAGTATATTTTAAAAGAACACTGATCTGTCTTAGCTTATGTGATGATCATGAAGTTCCTAGTGAAAAACTAATAGCAATGTTGTCTGTAAGCGATAAAATGTATAAAAAACCACTAGGAAGTTATCATGTTTAATGTCCAATATCTTTTGAACCTGTGCTTTATATGACATTAAATCTAGATATCATATAAATACTGCTAAAAATCTATCATATGGCATAGAGCTGCAATTTGGGCATTACAGGGCATTGTTGACTTTCAGCTCCATACTAATATGGGCATTGTCCTTTGCGTTGCAATTTTTCAATTGTGAACTCTGGGTTTTGCTTCGACCACGTGATCAATATTACCGTGCATCACGTCATTTCAATAATTCGATTATTAAGACATTATACGTTAAATCGCTTGAAAAACAATATTATTTTCTTTTACTAAAAGGTAAACGTACCTTTACTTATGTAAAAGAGAATACAACTATTAAACCAATTTAACATAATTTCTCGCTAAAACTCGAGAAAGTCTGGACCGATTACGCTAATTTTGCTCTTGAATTATTCGTGGAAGTCCAGAGAAGGTTTAAAAGGTAGATAAAATGAAAATGTTCTGAATTAAATAAAAATATTTTTTTGGTTTTCCTTTTGATGTGTCCCCCGTCGGACGGATTCCTTTTGTTTGTTTTAAGTTTATTTTATACAAAAGCTTAGGTCTTTTATTTATCGATTGAGGCACTACGAAGTCTGCCGGGTAAGATATTAAACAATATTTTTGACGTTATAGCGTCTCATAAATCGACGAGCACCGGTTGCACGCACAAAAAAGTGTCACGTTCCGCCTGAGCCTGAGCGTGCAAGCGAGAGCGCGGAACAAGCGATAGAGAGGCACGATCGGCCCAAGCGTTGGCTTGTGACAAATTTATCTCTGTTCCCGTGTGACGTCAGAGATATCAGTTCGAACGGTATTGCTACCGACGTTATCACGCAAAACTATCCGGTCGTCGTTCTCGTCGAATCCGTCGCTTACGACGAAGAGCTCGTCGAGTAAATTAACCCACAGACACAGCCTACTGAGTTTCTCGCCGGATCTTCTCAGTGGGTCTGTTTCTTTGCGGGGGCGGGTGTGGATGCCCTTGCCGGGTAGGTTTCGGGCAAAGCCTGCCGATGCCATCAATCGTAATAGAAATAACACCTAAAAAATAAGGGCCAACCGTCCCACAAAAAAAAAAAACAATACAACAAAAGCATTTATTTACAAAATAAACTACAGATTAGTTTTTCTTGACTTTAATCTTGTTATCACCGCCGTTTACGGAGGTCCAGAGGTAGCACAAGACCCTCCTGGCCACTACGTACACCGCGAGGCACGCCAGCAGCAGCGCCGCTATGATGTCCACGAGCCAACGCTGGTACCACGGATACAGAAGGCTCTTAGAGCGCAGATGGTAGGCTCCTGTAACATATATTAATCAAGACTAGTGGTCGCCCGGTAGTCGAAATTCGACTATAATTAATTGAAATTTTATGTTTGTACACTATTACGATTCTATTTTCAAAGACTATTATACTTCTTTAATCACAAATTTCGCCTTTTTTTTTCCACAGGAGAAAATCGCCGGATTCCCACCCGCACGGCAGGTGGGGTATGTGGGAGTCGAACCTCACTAAAAACGTCCTGCCGCTCACAGCCCCTACCCCGGACCGGGCGGGAGCCCAGTCGGAGCTATTGAGACGGCGGGACAGGGTTTACGCAGAGCATATTACATCCATCCCGCAAGACTACACTATAGAAAAATATTAATAAAGACAAACAATACTTAATCTATTCTCAATTTGACAACAGACGTCAAGAACAAAAGTTTGACAATAAATAGTATGCATGCGTGTGTGCGTCAAATACATGGTAGTGTGTGTTATGTTTTCTTTATTGATTTATTGTATCTTTTAGGCATTATTTAAAAAAAATATTAGCATTGTGCACTTCTTCTCTATAATCTCTATAAGTGTGGAAAATTTCATACTCCTCAGTCTGCGCAATTTTCGTAAAAAGGGATACAAAGTTTTTGCTTCACGTATTAATATATTATTATAGATTCCATGCTCTTAACAAACGGAGGTAGAACGCAAGAGGCTAGATTCAATAAATAATGTCAATAAATAGTCAATAAATCAAAGTCAATAAATAATGTACAACCCAAGACAGACCCGGCTGAACTGACTCTTTTACCGGCCACTGACATGCGCCCAAAATTAAATATTCGTACATTGTACGAATGTTCGCGCGCATGTGAAGGGCCGTCAAACATTCATTCGCAAACTTAGCGACTGTGCAAATGGGTTCGGTACTCAATTCGCGAACCCGTTTGCGCTTCCTCCCACACTT